TATTAATTGTTTATGCCTCCATAATGTATTTAATTTTTTTTCCAAAATTATGACTTTATAATGTGCTTTGATTTTTTTCTAAAATTATGACTCAATATCTTTTGGATTAGATATTTTATACAATCTTATATATAGTATTATGAAAAAAATTAGCTTAGAACATAATATTTTTGAAAAATCCTTACTACACAAATTTGTGAAAATCGATTAACTTTTCCAGAAAATCACATGACAATTGGTTGTCGAAATTTATCGAACTATTAAATTATTTTTTCAGTTAAGGAATTTCAGTAAATCCCGACTACATTAATTTTTTTCTCATAAAATTCACTAATAAAACTGTTTAATTACTAATTTTTTTATGTTTAATATATTTAATATTTTTCATAAAATCATATATATATATATATTAATAATTTTGTTTTTAATTATTATGAGGGAGCATAAATTCTAAAATTTAAACATAGTGCATATATGACATAATATTTATTGTACATTTATTTATATATTTTTAAATTAATTACCTCAATAAATAATATTAATGTACATTAAATAATTATTATTATATAAAAAAATAATACTAATTTTATAAGTGTTATAAATACTAATAATGACATTACATGACCATAAATTTTAAAATAAAATTATATTTAAGTATTATGATGAAAACAAATAAATAGATATTTTTTTATGTATTAAAAAATAAAGAAACGTGTAAAAATATTATTTATATTAATATAAATGGTTCTACGGGCCAATATATTATTAAAATAAAGTTTTTTAAAAAAAAAAATTAAGGTATAAACCCTCCGTGCATCGCACGGGATGCTTACTAGTATTATAATAACATGAGATTCTTAAATGCAATTATCAATATATTAAATATATAATAAAATTATTGATTAATTTTGTTTACTTAGGGTAATTCGGATAATCGATTATTTTAATCTGAAGTCAAATTTATTTTATCATTATTTTTTTTAACCAGAATTATCGAACCAAATTATTTTATATTTCAGTTCCCTTTTAATACAACTCTAATAACGGGATTAACCGAACTATATTATTATTATTATTATTATTATTATTATTATTATTATTATTATTATTATTATTATTATTATTATTATTATTATTATTATTATTAAATATT